TAGGGTTCGTTCTTCCCCCAACATCTACCCCGCGGTATTCAACAACAGAAGATGTACGATGCTTTTCTCCCCTTGAAGCTTTATTATTGTCATATTTTAAACGGCAGCACTTCTTCCCTGGCAAGGCAAGATTAAAGAAATAGATTAATTCTAATTTTATTTCTACTTCTCTAGGCCCGTGTGGAAAACATCAAACTGAAGCATGAAATCCAAAACCTTGAAACCATCTTGAAAGCTCAGGGAGAACTGGTAGAGGGTCAACGTTTGATGGACTTTGAGCACATGAGGAAAGAGAATCAGAAACACAGCGAAAAGATTGACGACCTCAGTGATGAAATCCTGAACCTCAAAAAGAAGGTATCCAACGCAGTACATATTCTCAGCCAGTTCAGGGAAAAACTACAGTTTGTGGAAGCTGAAAATCAAGGCCGAAAGGCTGAACTGATGGACATTGAGACCGTCTTGTCACAGAAGAGAGACATTCTGACCAAAACCAAACAGGCCAGAGACAGACTGCGGAGAAACAATTTGAAATTGCAGCAGAAACGTGGGTTGCTTGGAAATGAGATACTGCTTCGGGACTTTGAGGAAAAGGTGGATACTGCAGAGCTGCTCAGTCAGCGACTGGAAACACTGAAAGGTCGCCATGCTGGTCTGATCCTTACTTGTAGGGGAATTCAGAAGAAAATCAAGGAAGCCAATTCCTCTTTCCTTGCTGAGGACAACCGAAGAAAAGAAGGCATGGAAAAGAAATAAATGAAGGAGTATTCCATAATTATGATTTTTAACATGCCTTTTTTTTTTTTTTTTTAAGTCCTGGGGAATACATTACACACATACTCCTGAAAAAGCCTTTTCTAAGTGACATGTCAGTATTATGCACTCAATGAAGAGGTTACAGTAGTTACTCACTTTGAATGAAACCATATACTTGTGCCTAACTTAAACAAACAAAAAAGCCACAGTCAAAAGCCTACACTTCCAGAAAACCATCTTAGCATTCAGTCCTTAAAGGCCATGGAAACACTGTTTAAGCAGAGCACTCACCATACTCCAACCCAAATCCTCATCCTGCCACCCTCTGTGTGGATTTTGCAATTCAGTATCGGCTTCATCTGTACAATAGATGTTCCTGCCTTCTGGGCACATCGTAAGGAGCAATTTTCATAGATGTGGCCGAGAACTGGAGAGAAGCTTATCGCCAACCCCTGACATGACTTGCACACAGCCAATATACTACAGAAGCACTAAATCACTCGCCCATTCTGTAAATATACTTGGCTGCCAAGTTTGCCTTGGTGGTGCACAAGAAGAAAGGTTTATTACTGTAAGAACTGTTTTCATAGTATAAATATATACCTAAATCTTATCACTCAAAACTAGAGTTTTACATTTTTTTGGTCTTTCAGCTTTTACAGTTTTAGGGGGTCCTCAGCCTTGTCCTTATTCATGGTGTGTGAAGAGGTAGAGAGTAGTGTAAGCCCATCACCGTTTCAGCCCCCTCTGCACCGCTCAACTACAGTGCATCAGAATTCCAGAAAAAAAAAAAAGACTAAAGAAAAGAGGGGTGGGAGCAACAAACATTTACACATTTATGACTGTACAGCTCACAGAGCTTCAGTTACAGGAAGCAGCTTCCCCTTTCAAAATAGTATATTCTTGAAACTCCAATTCTCCCATGGCAAACAGTGGCTATGAGACTGATCTATATCCCGCAGCTCTTGCGGCTGCTATTGTAGCTTTATTTCTTATTTAAGGCATGGGATGGATGTCAAGAATATAGAAACATCTTAGGCCAGTAAAATGTTGACGCTCTGACATACTATGTTCTCGTAACTGAAGCAATTGCAACTTACACTGACAATAGGTGATTAAGATAACTTTACATGACTTTATTTAACAAAAACATATATTTACAGTTGAAAAAAGTTCCAGTTTGATACACGTATCTAAACAAAACAAACTTGATAACTACATAAAACCAATTTAAACATGATGTACAGGGGATGTATCAACAGTTCTCTATATGTCATCCTATTTTTCAAAACATTCAAAAATAAGCTGTTACAAGGTACCTTTTTTCCAAATTAAATTCTTTACTAAATGAAATAACGTTAATGATTGATTGCTGATTGAAGTTGCAAAACGGCTTCATTATAAAGTGCAGGTCGTACAGAATTCCAAACCTGGTTGAAGTTTTCTGGTTTCTCTAATCTGCTGCATGTACAGTGGTAGTTGCAGACTTCTGATGTATTGCAGCATTTTTATTTTTCCTTAAACCCATGAAGAAAAGAAAGTTTGCTTGATAGGGACACTTGCTCAATGAAAGATAATCTCATGCATCATGTTACAGATACTCTCAAGCACCTGAACAATAAAATTGTCAAAATTTTTTATGCAATCCCTGAATTTATTACAGAAATCTTCCTTAATAGCTAATTAAGAGATTTGGTACGCTGCAAGAAACTGAAGAAGCTCAGTGGCAAGTAATTCTATGCCCTTACTACTCATCTGTTTTTTTCAAAATTCAAGCGTTACCTTCAAATCAAGTTACTGAGAAGTTGAAACAATTGCATCTTTAGGCAGGTGATTTTTTTTTAAATGTATTTTGTTTGAAAACAAACTGTGCAAAGCTCCTTATTGCATTGCTTTTCTTCATTAAAGAACATACCTTATATACACAAAGAAATCATTTAGAAAATATATACATCTTCTAAGAACAGAAAGATCAAATCACAGAACAAAATAATTACATTTGCAAGTAACAAACAGTGCACGTGTTGCAGCAGGCCTTCTTCCCACAACTATGACCATTTTCACTGTTACATTCAACATCTTATTAAGAGAGAAAAAGGAGAACAGGCTGCTGATGGCTGCAAAGATACCTAGTGGCTGAAGAATGCATTTTAACCAGACAATGAGCCACGCTTGTAGACTTGGTTTAAAAGGAAATACAAATCTAGTTGCAATGAAGACTTAAACCACAAAGCCAGTTACAGTACCACCTAAAAATGTATACTGAGGAAAAAGTTGTCTCTCTGTTTAATACACCGTTTAAAGGCATAGTGCAAATATTTCAGATGGTAGGCCTCTCATATCCTTCATGGAAAGGCATAGTTATTGTTGTAACAGAAAAAGTAATATTAAAAAACACTTACTGACCTTCCAGCTTTCTATTGCACTTCAAAGCAACATAGCATACAAGTACCGGTCACTGAAGGACCAAAGCTATACAAATTCTGGGAGAATTAACACGTGTTTCATAACAACATCTTGATGTCTATTTTCAGTAAGTGATGACCTAGAAGAAGTCTTATGGAGGAATTAAGATGGCCAACAAAAAACCACGTCCATTATGCCAGGTACACAAAGTGGACAGGAAAAGAGGCCAATGAGGTATCAGACTTGCAAGCTGCATTTGCATTACACATTTTCCAAAGTGATGGAGAGTCCTCACTTACCAGGGAATCTTGCCCTCACTCTTTTTAATATTACAGTCAAACTATTCCTTACAGAAACCATGTTTGTACTAAAGGACCGTATTTTGATTATGTCCCACAGTCCTTTACATTATATGTTGAGTTGAGCAGTGTGCAACTATTATTATTTTTTTTATTCAGACAACGCCAAAATAATCAGCATAAAACAGACTGAAGAGCACTGGGAAACTGCTGTCCATATAGCTAGAGGATTTAGAAACGCCTGTTTACAGTTAACAAATATTGCTTCCGTTAGTTTCCCTTTTCAAGAATCGTCATTATATATAAAATAGATTTTACGCTATACACTATGCAATAAACATTCTTGTAAATCAGAGGCACTCATGATTTACAGTTCAAGATTCATCTGAATGCAGAGGGGATCTAAGCTGTATAACAGAATTGTGCAACCACAGTTTGCCGTCTCTGTAACTTGCTCCCATGTATTAGAGGCTGGGTAAAACGCTGGCAAATGACAGCTTGTACTTATCCTGATAGTATTTGTCTGGCACATTCCCCAACTTCTTTCACTTGTCACTACACACAGATCAGCTCCACGTAACGCCTTCCCACTGTGGCAGCAGTAGCTTCAGGAAATCCCACAGAACCTTTTCTTTTCAGCAGCAATGTTGGCTTGCGTAATTTCTCCCCTACCACCCTTCCTCCTCAGTTTTGCCAGTGAGCAGAGCTGGGTTCAAAGTACCTATAAAATTGCTTTTAACCATTTTGTAATTTATCTGCTCAGCCCAGTTTTATCAGCACGACTGGAGAGGCGGCACAGGAATAAGTAGCTGGTAGGCAAGAACAACCTGGAACAGCATTGCCCCGGAAGAGGGAGACATGGAAACATAGGTTTTGTAGTGTGTGACCCTGTGTTTAAACAGAGGAAAGAGAGTACAGTTGGGAAATGATGCCAGCTTAATATCAGAAACCCCCCAATGAGTTTGGAATCTCCTCTGATTAATGGAACTTCTTCCATACGCATCCAGATTGGAAACATAGATTTCCAAGGCATCTTCAAGAATAATTGGTTTTGCACTGCTAGCTTGACTTCTCTTCCAATTTTACTTTCTACTTAACTTTTTCTTATTAAAGAATGGAATGTAGTTCTATGTCTACATGAGTTCTTTGGTAAATGGGACCCACAGCCCATAAAACAAGCATTTCTAAAGAAATGGTCCTTACATCATTTAACTATAAATTCCAGCACCAGTTATTTAAAATCCAGCTCCAGCTGTTATGGAATATATATCCTGCCTAAGAATGAAACTGGGGAATAGCTTTCAAAGCAACCGACATCACTGAGTGCCCAGTCTTTTAAAAAAATCAAAGGAAAAAAAAAACTTAAAAAAACCCCTTAACATTGTTTAGTTTCACTGCCCTCATCAGAAGTACAGAACGTGTAGCGCTGTCCACAGCAAATGCTCATTCCACTAAAAGTTTAAGGCTAAGCCTAGGTTTTACTCATAAGGGTTTTATCCCCTGATTTCCTTACTTCCTTCCCCCCCCTTCTCTTTTTTTCCTCTCTCCTATTTAAGGCTATCCTACTACTAAACAAAACTCTGAAATAACACTTTGATTTGCAGGCTCATACATGTCAAACAGTACCAATACTTTTGCCACTTTAGCTCTTTTCCCATGAGTCACTGGAGGCAATCATAGTTTTAACGTTTGAGTGAAGGGCTTCCTTTTTCCATTTCCCGGTTATCTTTCTGAAGAGCAGCCAGTACCTAGATGTTTCAAGGAACGAGAGAGAAAAAAGTATTAGATTTAGAAAGTGACTCAATAAATCACTGTCTGAAGAGTTTCCAATTTAATTATCTCTGAGCAATACTATTTTAACTATTAAATGTAATCAAATTTAGAGAACGTCTCCACTGATGGAGACCTCTCCCATAAGTTCTTGTGGCATGGTAGATACGAATGGATTTAACAAAGGTTTAAACTCAATCTTCCCCCAACACACACTTTTGAAGCTCGGAGATGAGACTCTTACCCAGATTACACAATTCTAGCACTATTAAAGGACACTGTCTGACGGGAAGTTATAATTCTCAAGATAAATGGGCTGTCTAAAGACACAGCAAGTGAGCAGCCTGAGCAATACGACATTATCTAAGAGTCCAGGACAGAATTGCCATAGCGCTGACTGGTGCTTGTCTAGAGCATGTCGCTGCCACCAGATCTGCTTACACTTTTTTCTGAAGCAAAAAGCCTGCATTTGCATCCATATAGAAAATTTGTATTTTCTATTATCCGATGCACAATTTTGTGTTGTTAGCCTTAATGTAGAGGGCACAATGACAGCCAGTTTCTCATGCTGCGTAACGCACTCCCCGCCCTATAGTTAGTCTCTGCTGAAGAAGTCCAGCAGCATCCCCAAGAATCACCCTGGAATTGAATGTACTGAGGGACATTTCATCTCAAAGAATTGCAGTTATGAGTAAGCAGCCTTCTTTTCTCACTCTGACCAACTTCAAACAAACCTCTGCACCATCAGAATTAACAGGAGGTGGGTCTTAATCACTCACAGGGCAATCACAATACACTGCCTATGTTTCAACGCAAAACCATCCATAGCTGTTGTGGTAAGAGAGTTCAACATGGGTCTGAATAGAGCCACAGCTGGCTGGCTGTTCAGCAATTTCTAGAATCTGAGAGAGATTTCTGTGAGGTCCTCTTCACAGACATTCAGGGTAAATCAACAGCTCCTCAATCAATTGGCATTATGAGAGTTTCAAGTGCCATAGTAAGAATGTCCTTGCTGGAAAAAAGTTAACCTTTTTAAGGAACCAGAGAATGACACCAAAATAATGATCCAGAAAAGCAGAAAAACATAGATATTAAGCCAACTAACAGAGCTCAGATTCTTTAGTTATTTGGAAAACTTTATGGAGCTAAGATTTGAAGCATTGAGATTACAGAAATGCTAACCCAACAGTCTAGTCTGTTCTACCACCTCTATTTCTCTGTTGTCGATGGCAAAGCGGTGGGTGTATCAACAGCCACTCACATTTCAGGCTAAGCTGTATTGGCACAAGGCCCTGGAGTTCTTTGTAGGTAATTCCAGAAGAAAAACAGAGCTTGCAGGTTTCCTATTGATAACCAAGAGTTCTTCTTATCAGAAGAGCCATGTCTGTGATTTACCAGGACTCCTTTCAGTCTTTAGTTTCCTGGTCATAGGTGACCAAAGGAAAATGGACTGAGATGGAAAACATAAACCAACTCCTCTGATGAGGGAACCAGAACTGTGGGATCTGGATTCATAAGCAGCCCATAATATTTTAGATGAGGTCCTACATATATCATCACACCAGAATGTGACCCACAGGATACCAGGTCCGTAATTACCATGGTACAGCAAGATGAAAGGTTCAGTAAGTGGGTGTTTTTCTGAGTGCCAAATACACCCACTGTTGAGATGTGTGGCTGAATTTGACCAAATATACTCCTACAAAGAAGTAGTACCTCAAGCTCTGCTGCTTTCTTATGTAGTACTGTTACTTTAACCAAACAAGATGATGCTAGAGATGGGAACACAAAGCCCACTTTTCTAAGCTCAAGAGCACGCTGCATCCTCTGGGAACTAGCACCCTGGTCAGTCAGTCCACCTAGAGTTTATCTTAAAGGTAATGCATCCATCACAATGGATATTCATTTTGCTACTTTGAAAAGGTATTTCCCTAGAGAAAACACATGGATACTACAGCAAAGCATCTGACTCCTACAACAATAGTCAGACATAATTATTCAGCTATGCGGCATCACAACTGCAGCCAGACTTCTCAAGCATATTGTGTGGGTGCATGCTGCCACAGCCCCAGCACTGCTCTGAGTCCAGCTGTGCAACCAAGTCACACACTCCAGAAGCCTGTCTGTCCTAGAACTGCAAAGTTCAGGTTTCTGAGTCCAGACTCATCCTGGTGAACTTTAAAAACCTGAAGAGAGGCAAGAGGTCATCACAGGTAGCATCTTAGCAATAGAAAACATACTCCCATACACTCTTTGTCTTGTTAATGTGTCTAGGTTGATTCCAACAATGGTACCTCAGCGACTGAGGAGTCCCAGTAAGTACATGATGTGAGCAAACTCACAGCCCCTGCCCACTTCTGGCCTGGAAAAGGATGGCAGGCTAGAGAGTGAAGAGGCTTTCCTGATGGAAACTTACTCAGCAATGGAACTATGTGGTGAAGAAAGCCAGTTGGTGCAGAAGTCAACATAGGTAAGAGGTCAGCCAATACCAATCCTACAGCGTGCTAACTGTGTTTTGAGATCTATCTGCACCACAGTTCAACAGCATTTTTTCTTCAGTTTGCCTCAACAAGTGAAAACAATCGGAAATTCCAGCACAGTCAGAATGAAGCTGATGAAGAGACTGAGGAAGACTGCTTGGGCTAGGTTACTTTGAAGTCTTCCTCCTGTTGTGATAATCACAACTAAACCTTCACAGGTATCAAAGACCTGTGGCTAAGCACTGGCTAAGCAAGCCTATTACTTGGGTTACTTGGCAGAATAGGACCACTTCTCTGCAAAGAAAGCAGCAGTACGCTGAGAATTGATTTGGTATGTGATCCTCATCCACACAAGACATGTTCAAAGAAAGTGAACAAGGAACAAGACTGGGAGGTTACTTGTAGAGACACTGCTGGCTGAAAAATGTTCTTAAGGATAGAAACAAAGCTGGATCTGTACTAGCAACTTATGACCAAGACCAGAGGGTAAACGCAAAATAAGCTGTGAGGAAAGCCATGTCAGGGAGGAAATGCTAGCAGCGTGCTGCTCTTAGCTGGGCAGTGCAGGTTGTGCTCCCCCTTATACACAAGGTAAGGCTTAGAAGGCTACAATCTAATCCCACTGTGAAGCTTAGAAATTCTCATCTCAAATAGCAAGCTGGCAGTGCCCCCATCTACAAGCAGACTATTACTCCAGGAAAGAACCATAAACTCCCATAACCACTACGTTTAAAAACACCTTTCAGTTTAACTGCAAAAAAGAATGGATAAACTGGGCAGAGCTCTATTACAGCATGTTTCATGAAGCAGGCTGCATCACCGCTTTGAAGGAAAAAAACCAGAGTTTACACTCCAAATGCTATGGAGTACATTTGACCTAACTCTCCAGCATGATGGCTGTTACAGCCAGTTAACAATTTCCACATTCAGATGACACACTTCCATCTTTTTTCTTTAAGCTGGAGTTTAGTTGGAATTACAGTGATGAGACTACAATTTCTGAAGTAAAGGCTTCAGCCCTAAATTCCAGTGAAGAAGTCAGAAATGTAGTCACTTCTTTAAAGCCCAAGATTAGGCAAACTAGATCCTCAAGGATATTAAGATAACGACTGTATGATGATGTGTCCTGACAAATTGTCATCTTCTCCCAAAGAGTGAATTTCTGCTTTTAAATATCAAGTTGTAATGCTGCTAGCAGCCTTTGTAATTAGAAAGTTAAAAAAGATCGCACGATACTTTACTTCATCGACTTCACCCAACATTTCAATTTTGAATGTTGACAGAGCTCTCCCTTTCCAGAGGAGAAAAAACTCGGGGAATCCACTCACCTGAATGGATACTAAAAGCATGAAGTGAGCTACATAGTCCTACCCACGTGTAAAATCGAACACTAGCTCTGCTAAAACATTCTTGCAGATGTTGCCAAACCCCGTTTTCATGAGTACAGTACAACCATCTGTTATCAAAGATCAGCAGCCTCTTTACCTGAGCCCACTTTTTGTTTCTACTTTGCATCTGAATGGCAGCAATAGATGTGAAGAATTCTTCTGAAGGCAAGTCCTCTGGTAGCTTTGTTAAAAACTGGGCTATATGAATGAAGTCCATTTTGGTCAAAATATCTTCAAAAAGTTTTAATATTCCCAGGGCTGTACGGAATAAGAACTCTTCTCCATCACGGCAGAACACATCCCAGACACGACATGCCAAGTCTAGTGGCAAAGATTTGCTGTACAATGTGAATATCCTGAAAAACAGATTAAAATTTTCAGAGTTACTGCACAAGAAAAATGTCTCAGATACTCGCAGAAGTACACAGACTGATTATTAGTGAAGTTTGAGGCTTCTCAAATATTTGTATCTGAATGCTTTTTTATTTCAAAAGTACTTCTATTGGTTGCCGCATAACAATACATGAAACAACATGAAATTGTACAACAGTTAAGGCATCTTGCTATCAGTCTGGGTCTCCAAGTTCAATTTTCTTGGATCACACCAGAAGAAACAATATACATGGTTTTATGATGGACATGCACTGGCCACAGGTATAATCAAAAGCGTATTTAATCATCACTTCATAGTTGAGGATTGATGCAGTTTTAGCTGTGAGAACACAAAAAGATGAGTCTTAAGACATACTGCAAAGGGAACTTTGTGGATCAGATGAAGGAGATGTGTAAAATTAACTCTGTGTTCCAGGCCTGATGACTGGCAAAGTAATAATAGCACAAGTTTTGGAGGAAAGATCAGTTTAAACTCTAGTGAGTTAAGAGAAACACGCAAGATGTCCAGAGAGACGGCACAGATAGCTGTGGTAAGATGGTGGCTCAGCGTGCTTGAACGGATGTGATCCCCAAAGAGTAAGCAGAAGCAAGAACCTCCTCCCAGTTGCTAACACTGCATTTTCATTAACTGCCAATAGCACATTTCTTCCTTCATCAAAATGCTGACAGTCTTGCAGCCAGGAACACTAAGATGCTCCCTACTCCCTCCTCTATCCAACACTTCGCTACAAGGCAGAGCAGTTTTCATTGCCACTAACAACATCATAACAGCAAGTGAAGAGAATTAAGTTTCCTGGAATCACATTATAGTATATAAGGAAAAGAGTTACAATAATTTTTTTCCTTCAGAATTTAGAGAGAGAACATTTCTCCACAGATGCACGGCATAAAAGATCTCCGTAAAACTGCAAAAAAATTCTTTCTCCAGCAGAGGTCAGCAAAGTCTCAAATTTAAATAAATCCTTTCCACATCTTTTAACACAAAATTTCTTTTAAAGTATGTTGAATTGAACAGTAGTTCTCTTGTGTTTAAGGCCTCCCTCCATCCGCTCCAATTTTTTATTTAGGAAATCCCGGGTTACATTAAAAAAATACAATGGAACAAATACACACACACACACATATATAGGTATAGAATATGAATGAATATATTTTCACAGCAAATTCTAATAATCAAAGGTTTTCTGCAGTATCTGCTTTTTACTATATGAGATTATTCGAATGATGTGTCATCAAGTATCCGGCTTCTCTGTGAATCAGTGCACTTTTTCATTTTACAAGCAGCAAGACGAAACTAAACCATTTGCACAAATTCAGGTGACAAGCAAATTGCAGGTTTAGGATCCTCAGGATTTTACTTTTTTCTATTTTTACATCTCATTGCAATGTTTTTATAACAAGTGGAAATAATTTAAATTCTGTTTTCCAAAAAGCTAAATTAGAAGTATAAAAATAAGCAAATAAAAGGTAGAGTCTGGAATGAAAAAACCCACTATTGTTCATATATGTATTTTACATACATACATGGATGTATAAGAATAGCACGATACAAACCCCTTCTTTGGGTTACTGGCTGATCATGCGTTGCAGACTTTGTATACTCTTTCAACATTTTTGTACAGTCACATGCCATATAAAAATGTCTTGCTACAGAATACTTACACAGCCGAATTAAGACTTTTTGTCAATACACACACACGCGCACAGGAAACAGCAACAGCTGTTCCATTTAAAAAGAACAGTGTAATAGGAAGCAATTCAACTGAGTCCTTTCCTGGGCACCAAGTAGCAAGCAAACACTCAGCCAGAAACTAGTCCTCGTTAAAGATAAGTAACAATGCCTATTTTTTTGACCTGTTTTTAATCACAAGAGCTATTATTCTGTCATGATTCAGACCTTAACCTGAATAACCCATGTGTATTAAATCTGCATCTATGCAGAAAATTAACTGTCAGAAGAAACAGTCAGAACTATTTATTAGAACACTACTTTTTGTAGGAAAAGATTTACTTGCATCAAAAAAGCTGTCACATCAAATAAGGTATTTGACATTGATCTCTTCATAATTTGGAAGGAAGTGCAATTTGCAGGAAATTCGCAAGGCAATTAACTTTCATTAGTACTAGCATGGAATTAAATGCATCAAGCCCTAAGAATGGAGGCTGGGCCCCCTAGAATAAGCAATGAAACAACAGTAGGAATCATTACTGCTAAGAATGGATACAGCATTTGGTCCCTTGAAATGTTTCCTACTGAAAGACATTTTTTATTAGACATCGGAGCTACCGGTCTGAAACCCAGCTGAAATTTATTATAGTAATAAAGCAGCTGCTAGACTAAAACAGTTACAGCAGCGGCTCTCAGCAGCGCTAGCACACTACTTGCACGTGATCTGCTCTCGCAGGATGACTTTCTGCCTGCAGCTCTCTTCCAACTCACTAGAAGTCCCAGGTGCAGACAACACAGCTAACTAGCACAAAGATGTCCAGTATCAGAGTAACATAAATGCAGGCTACTGGCTGCTATCCATTTGGAAGAGGGGAAAAAAACCCCCGACGTACCAGATGCTCCTGCTCCTCCCAGCCCTGCTTATGATGGAAGTGTACTTTGAGGTAGATGCATGAAATCCTAGCTGGTTTGCTACTCACAGGGAAAGTGTATGACCATAATGTTATCAAGAAAGCACTGTTACCACAATAATCATAGGCTCTGTATTTTCTTTCCTTTGTTCCTTCTCCCCCTGCCCCCCTTTTTTTCCCTCTTCTCTTTCTTTTTTAATTAAAAAGTATTCATAAGCTATCATTAGCAACAGCACTGAAGACACGTATGCTGGATTTTGGATTGAAAACTCACGCATAACAACGCTGATGCAAATCAGATCTTACATATTCTTGCACTACACATTCTCTTCCCGTATCTGTAACAGCACAAAAATATTTCTGCAACTTCTGATTTCAGCTGTGGAAACTGATGAACTAATTCACCTTTTAAACTTATTCTCGGATCCTCCCTCCTTCATCCTGGTACTAATTCTTAGTTGTTACATTTTGTATCTATTTCAACTACATCTGCTTTGAGACAAAGATTGTATCTTTCTAAGTGTTCATGCATTACTTTATTGTATAGTGGCATCTCTGTTCTCATTGGAGAATTCATTCACCTTTAGAGTTATTGCAATTAAGCTTGCTGGTAACAGTTTATTTAGTACAATCTTAAAATCATTAGAGTTTAAAAAAAAAGTGGAAGCATTTACTTTGTTCTTTATAACGGAAAGAAAAAGTATTACATATTATACAACACTGACTGCAACAGAGGAACTTCTTAGCACTCAGCAAAGCTGATTGCATTCTAAAATGTATCAATATAATACAAACACTGTGTGAGTTCCTGAGCAATTTCCAACCAGTCACCCAAAAAGCCCTGCTCTCTCACCTAGGAGTACAACAAGGCAACGCAATATTTCACTTGATTCCACCCTGAGCTGCAGTGACATAAGGATGAGTGCACTGTAAATTGAGCTGAAGACTGTGATCTTTTGGAGTTCAGTAACAACTCCAATTCAAAAAATCAGGATGTTACCAGAAACCTTTGGACAGAATTACAGTTCATTTTTTCCTTTGAAAAGGAGGCACACATTTAAAGCATCAACTTGAGCTTCATTTTTGGGGGGTGGTGGAGAGTTACCGGCATGATATGGACTATGTTTTTCTTAAATGTAACAGATAGCAAGCTTATAAATACTTCACTGGAAGTGCCCACTACAAGCATCCACACGAAGTGGCTTGGACCTTTATCATAACAAGCAAATGGCATCAATAGAAAGTTAGCGTTCACAGAGCACAATCACAGTCAATGCAATACTAAAGAACTATTTATCAATCCATCAGTACAAACAAGGCCCTTGGCTGTAATTATTGCCAAAATCATTTTTCTGAGTAGGGATAAAGAGGTGCTTGTATAGCAGCAGCAGGCCATAAACAGACAGCATGTGTCCTTTGCAAATCCACATTCTGCTCTGCTCACAAGAGCCTGCAGTACATCAGCTGACAGAGACGAGAGGCCAAAACTGGGCTATTCAGACACACTATTTCCCCTCTATTCTCTGTGAACCTGAATGTACATTGCTCTTTACACCCCTCTCACACTTGATTCCCTTTATATTCTTCAAAAAAAGTGAAAACCTGTCTAGCTTTTGAATTCTTATCGTGAGATTTATCAGTTGGAGTTTGGGCTTGAAGCACATGGGTCCTTTTTAAAAGAGATGCCTTACTTCTGGCAGGTATCTGCTGATAATCATGCCACTGTACCTTTTAATTAAATTCTTAAGTCCTGGCGTTTTCCCAACACAGAAGGCAGTGGTGGAATTGAACTGGCAGGGGGCCTCCCCTCCCTAAACCCTCCACCAGCCCCAAGAAAACTCAAAGAAGCATTGCATCACCTGCATAGCTGGGTCCATCTATACGCACAGCGTTTTTTCTTGGAACGTATCCCTTCAACAAATCATTTAAGCATACCAATTTTACTGCTGTTCCCCGTGGCACTGGTTACAGGAAGCAGCACAAAGGAGACTAGTTGATTCCACTGTAATTGCGGCAGGAGCAGGAGGGTTTCCCAGCAACTGTGCAGCACTGGCTACTGGAGCCCTCCCAGAGCTGGCACCAACTGAGATTTTCTGCACACATGCCTGCACAGTAACCATGCCAGCCACTGGAATAGCAGGAGGCATCCCTTTGGAGCTCAGAACAAACGCGCATTTAAATAAAAGTAATGTTGTTAGAGCAAGGCTGTTTCATAGAGATTTCTACCTACAATCAAAATGTCTGTCTGTTCAGAGCAACACTGTACCATATTCTTCCCTGACTTTAAACACACTGAAACCACATTCTTATCTTTCTGGAAACAGTTCTGTTTTTAATGGAGCGGTATCTGTACTACAGCAAATTCACTGTCAGCCATGAGCCACAGGCAACCTTATAAACAACATTTTCCAAAGTCCTTAGCTTTAATAGTTGCTCACTTGTGAGAACACAGACCCACCCGATTTTTGCTTACATCTTTTCTATATTACTTCCTAGAACTAATGGAAGGACAGCACGTATAAAGTCCAATTCGCTAAGTTTCCAGTGGCCATTTAAAAAAACAAAAAAATTTTCTAAATCTGCTTCCTACAGGATCAAAGTATTTTAAAGTAGAAAGTATATACGTGTATGTGCACACACATATGTATCCATATCCTTATATACACATGCACATACACACATACATATTTAAATATTATACCTAAATCTTACACTAACTCCACTGTCTAACAAAATTAAAGACAGAGTGGGACAAGATGCCTAGCTCAAGACAAGTGTGAAAAAAGTTTAATACAGGATTGGGCAGGACTACCTCGACTAGCCTACATTCCTGTGCAAGATCATGGTGTTGTGACTCTCTAGGGATGGGGAAGAACACAGTAAATTGTCCTTGGGATTAAAATAAACAGCTTTAATATGGATGCAGGTAGTCAGCAAGAAATGCTAGGGGTTGTCAGTCCATTGGTACAAAGATCTTGAGAAGCACCATCCACAATCACTCCTGACAGAGTGCTCTTAACAATACCCATAGAAAGGGTGCCAATGAAATACCAAGGAAAGTGGGGTCTGATGTGCCCCACACACTCAAGACTTCAACAGCTTCCGTTCTTTGCTCATAGGTCAGTTTTCTTTTCTTTTCTTTTTTTTTTTTTTTAACCTATAAATGTGCTCAGAGAGAACAACTGATCACATGTTTACTCAGGAAAATACAATAAAGACTAGTCTATCAAAGCAAAACTGCTTAGGGGAATGTAAACCTTCAACCTTTCCTCAAAACAGTCTTTTTGTAAATCTCCAATTTCTGGTGTTGTTCCTCAGGATTTCTTCTTTACAATGTAAAGCTCAAAATTAGACAACAGAGTGATATTACCATGCCTGCACCATGAAGACACTTGGTTTTAGTCTTTCCTACATTAAAAAAAAAAAAAGATCACCTTATTTACGACAGCATGATGTTAAACTAGTAATCCATTAAAAAGATGATAACCTGGTGATTTTAATGTTGCCTATCCAGTTACTCTCCAGCACGTTTACAGTCTTCCTATTCTGATATCCCTTTTATTCAATTGCTTCCTCCACACACAGGCTTTTCACAACATTGTCTAAGGCAATATAATTTCAACATCTTTCCTCTTATCATTGAACATACCAGCCTCTGCCCTCTTCCTTCCCTTCTATCCTATTCCAGTATTTTTTCTAGCATCTTCCTGCTCTGTACATAGATCTAGTTCAGTCTAATATTCTCAGCCTTCAGTCATAAAAATCCTTCCAATGGTATTTCTCCCATCAAATGTTGGGAGAAATGAGCCTATCCATTACACACCCCCTCATTCTCCTACTCATGTTACATTAAAATTTAACCCCAGTGTAAAAGCCAAGTCAAACAAAGCCCATGTTACACTATCCTCTGTGCAAGAGGCATATGAAAATCAAAGAACTCAAGCAAAGGCAACAGGAGGTCTGTATGGACGAACAAGAACCTCCTGACAAAACTCAAATATAAAAAGGAACCATACAAGAGGCTGAAGGAGGGGCAGATGACCCCAATGAGACATTGCCTGAATATGCAGGGAAAGGGGCTAGGAAAGCCAAAGCCCATCTGGAGTTGAATCTGGCAATGGATGTTAAGGACAATGAGAAGGGCTTTCCATGGGTACATCACCAGAAAAAAAGACTCAGGAAAACATGAGCCCGTTGCTGAATGGGGCAGGGTACCTGGTGACAAAGTACATGCAGAAGGCTGTGGTACTCACTGCCTTCTTCACCTCAGCCTTTACTGAGAAGACTTGCCTTCAGGAATCACAGGTCCTCCAGACCAGTGGGAAAGCCTAGTGCAAGGAAGCCCTACCCTAGGTGGAGGAGGATCACGTTAGGGAACATTTAAACAAATTGGGCATATACAAGTGCATGGAACCTGGTGAGATACGCACGAGTGCTGAGGAAACTATCCCATGTCATTGTGAGGCCACTCTCAATTATCTTTGAAAGGTCCCAGTGATCAGGGGACGTTCCTGAGGACTTGAAGAAAATAAATGTCACTCCTATCTTCAAGAAGTAGGATCCAGGGAACTACAGGCTGGTCAGCCTCACCTCTATCCCTGGGAAAGTAATGGAAGAAAAATTCCTGGAGATCATTTCAAAACATATGATGGGCAAAAAGGTTATTGGGAGAAGTCAGTATGGATTTATGAAAGCAAAATCATGCCTGACCAACCTGATAGCCTTCACCAATGAGATGACTGGTTTGGTGGATGAGGGGAGAGCAATGGATATTGTTTATCTTCATGTTAGCAAGGCTTTCAACACTGTATCCCATAAAATCCTTGCTGATGAATTGACGAAGTATGGACTAGATAAATGGACAGCGAGGTGGACTGAAAACTCGCTGGAACTGCCAAGCTCATAAGATTGTCATTAGTGGCATGAAGTACAGCTTCAAGCCAATCCAACAGTAGAGTACTCCAGAGTTTGATACTCATCCAGTACTTTTAAACGTCTTCATTAAGGACCTAGATGGTGGGTCAGACTGTACCCTCAGCAAGTTTGCAGGTGATACAAAACTGGGAGGAGTGGTCGATATACCACTCCATAGGGACCTTGAGAAACTGGAGAAATGAGCCGACATGAGTCTCAAAGTGCAACAAAGGGAAATGCCAAGTCCTGCACCTGGGGAGCAAATAAGCCAAGGCACCAACACATATGGGAAGCCAACAGGCTGCAAAGTAGCTTTGCAGAAAAAGACATGGAGATCGTGGTGGACAAGAAGTTGAATGTAACTCAGCAACATGCCTTTGCAGCAAAGGACATCCACAAACTCCTGGGCTGCATTAGGAACAGCACTGGCAGCAGGCCAAGGCAGGTCATCCCTCCTCTCTACTCAGCACTGGTGAGCCAGCTCTGGCCTTCCCAGTACAAGACAGACATGGATATACTGGAGCAAGTCAGGCTTCCCATGAATACGATTAAAGGCCTGGAGCATATGATACACAGGGGGAGGCTGAGAAAGCTGGGACTGTTTCGCCAGGAGAATAGATGGCTTGGACCTAAATGTGTAAAAATACTTGATAGGAGGGCATAAAGAAGACAGAGCCAGACTCTTCTCAGTTGTATCCAGTGAAAGGACAAGAGCCAATGGGCACAAATTGAAATACAGGAAATTCCATTTAAATACAAGAAAATGAAAAACTTGTTCACTGTGAGGGTGGTTGAACACTGGAACAGGTTGCCTGGAGAGGTTGTGGAGTCTCCATCCTTGGAGATATTCAAAACCTGATTGGACAAGCTCCTGAGCAACCTGCTCTAGTTAACCCTGCTTTGAGCAGTGGGTTTAGACAAGGTGACCTCCAGAGGTCCCTTCCAATGCTCCAGCAATTCTATGATCCCATGAAAACTCATGTATTCAAACGTCTAGCTGTTGGATTGGACTGAATTACTTTAAAAGGATTTCTGTCTAATGGATCAGAAACATGTTCAGTGCTAACAATTAGGTCTTAAAGATCACCAAGGTATCGAGAGCTTGGTTCAGATAGAATTGCATTAACAGTACAAATGTTTTCCAAAATAAAAACTTACTAATCTCAGAAAAAAAATGCTGTTACTACTGGGAATTCCATCTTTTACTGAAGGTATTTAGTGAGACACCTGAGAACAGGAGAAACTGTCAACAATTTAAGGGCAAATAAATTTTTCACAAAAGAAAGATTTATATCATCCTGAAACTGACAACAAACTCTTGCTGAAAAGAGACATTTTAGCTGCCCCAAACCAAAGCCTGATAGGCACAAATGCAAATACTCAATTTGGAGTGTCTTATACCACACTGAAATTTGGCAGGAGTGCAAGTAAGATCCTTGTCTTTTTTCCTCTCTAAGGAAAAAGGTTCTAATTACACTAGAACTAAAAAGGAAGGCAGTTTCACCAAATAAAAAGATCGTAATTGCCCGTCTGCTAAGTGGAACAGATGCAGTAATTAAAAACATCCTAATGTCCTTTAGCTATTCAATTGGACTGTGTCAAGATCAGTTTTTAAACAACCTGTACTGGGATCCTCTAAACAGGATCTGGGACCACCTAACATATGAGTGAAATACTGCCCAGGAGCCATTTTCCCTTTTCTGTTCTATTAAACTGTCTTTATCTCAACCCATGAGTTTTTCTCACTCTTACCCGTCCGATTCTCTCCCTGCCCCACCAGCAGGGGGAGTAAGCGAGCGGCTGCATGGTATTTGGCTGCCTGCCAGGTTCACCGGAGCCATAGTTCACCCTGCCAAAAGCCTAGGTGTTTGCTTTTCTGTAGCTTCTAGCTTTTTGTTGTATGACTAGAAACACTATGTTTTAACTCCTCTTTTCCTGTTCTGTGCAAGAGGACAAACTGTAACTTTCAAATGCAAGATTAGCAATACTGTCTGGATATACACCCCTGGTATACACCTGCACATAAAGTAGAAAAACGAACATATTTTCTCAGAAGATCAATCCAAAGATGCACTAAATATGGATAAACAGTGCTATACAGCTGTATTTCAAAATAAGCCTCAAACTCAACAAAAGTACAATAATAAAGGTTAGGCAAACGTTAAACATCACAGAAGTATGTGGGAAGGATTTGGATTGACAAACTCAAGTACTGAACAAAAGATAAAGCCTTTATCTTAAAAGAATATTAAACCAGGTAAGAGCACTCCAGCTTCTGTCATGAATACTGACATGGAGCTATATGCTAGCATGCACATTAATTATACTTTCAATGTCTTACCAATCAATAAGATAGATGTCTGGAGTTAAGTTATTTTTTTTGAAGTGAGCAAATAACTTTGGCAGATTTTCTTCAAAGAATACCTCAAATGCAGCAAAGTAAGTCAACATCTGGGAAAATACAATGGGGAGAAAAAAGCAGTTAGCTGTATTAATAGGCTTAAATTATTAGCTGTTGTTGGGTTAATGCTCTTCAAAAACAGGACTGTATGAATTACATGATACAATAAAGACCAAACATTTACATAAAGACAGCATCTGTAAGCACATAGAGTTTAAGATCCACCCTATATACTGTTCTCATACTAAACAATATAATTATTGTTTTGGGTCTTGGCCAGTTTCCTTTGGAAAGAAAAATACCAGCAGGAGAGAAGTTATCTGCTGATTTTTCAAAATAATTATGGTAACAGAATGGTGCTTTATGCGTGTGGCAGTAATTTAATATTACACTGAATAAAATCCAAGGCCCAATGGATTATAAAGTGAAAACGAACTAAAGTAATTTAATAGTTCACAGCAAGAGTGAAGCGTCCAGTTGGCTCCAATCATAAATCATATTCTAACACCAAAGCTTCTTTTATACCACACATTTTAAAATGAGATAACAGCATTTCTATTGCAAAAAGGGAGACAAAGTTCACACAGAAAAGTCAAAGATCAAGACAAAACACCTATGCAAGAGAAACAAATTGTAACTCCCATCTAATACCGTAACCCGTGAACTGTACTCCTTTTAACATGAACACTTTCATGTTATTTTACAATTTGAATATTTAGGTCAAATTTCGTAACAGAGGACATGGAAAAAGAAAATCTTCCAAACCAACTAAGAGTTAAAAACAAAAGGCTTTTCAGCTCCCCCCTCCCTGCCCCACCCTGTCCTCTTAATACTATAGGGAGAAAAGTTAAGCAAAGTCCTTGAATGATTCAGTAATTTTAATTACAATATACCAATAAAAGCAATAAAGAACGGCTGTGATTACTTCAAAATGTGAGTTGTATCAGCATGCCTCTCCCCAAAACACCAAAACAGGTAAAGGAAAAAGAGGAACCTTTTGGAGCCTTTTGTCTGAAATCCTTTTAAAGGATGACAGATTTGTTTCCCAGTTTTTTTAAATGTCCTCATAGAAATTTTTCCCGTTTCATCTGAATGAAGTGACAGATGGTGAACTACCTTCATTAACAGCAGCAAATAAAAGATCAGGCCTGGTAGTCAGTAAGAGTATAAGGCTTAAAAGCCAATCAGAGATGGGTATATTCTACAGAAATAGCCATACGAAGTATGTAAAATCTCGGAACCATCAGTTACAGTCCTACTTCCTAAATGATCTGTTTACATGCTAGCACCACAGTAAAAGAGTTCTACTAAGGTGTTTCGAAAGTAGAGAAGGGATTTTACACATAACTGCTACAATCACATCTATTGATAGTAATGCAGGCAGCTCTATTAAAAACGTAATGGCAGTTTAGGTACTGGTCTTGATCAAATCAACATTCAACAAGACATTTCCTTAGTAGTAATTAAAAAAAATTCTAGTTTCATGAAACTGTAACCAAAAAAAGAAATCAAGATTAATCGGTATAAACTACTATCATTTTCACAACTAATTTACGCTGGTTTTATTTTTGTAATTTATTATATGTTAAGACAAATTGGCATTTGGTTATTAAGTTGAACATACATTAAGATTAAAACCTGGACATGAGCCAGCAATATGCACTCGCAGCCCAGGAGGCCAACCGTATCCTGGGCTGTATCAAAAGAAGCATGGCCAGCAGGTCGAGGGAGGTGATTCTACCCCTCTACTCTGCTCTGGTGAGACCCCACTGTGTCCAGCTCTAGGGTCCTCAGCACAAGAAAGACATGGACCTCCTGGAGCGGGTCCAGAGGAAGGCCACAAAAATGATCAGAGGGATGGAACACCTCTCCTATGAAGAAAGGCTGAGAGAGTTGGGGTTGTTCAGCCTGGAGAAGAGAAGGCGTTGGGGAGACCTTATTGCACCCTATCAGTACTTAAAGGGGGGTTACAGGAAAGATGGCGGCAAACTTTTTAGCAGGGCCTGTTGCGACAGGACAACGGGGAATGGTTTTAAACTAGAAGACGGTAGAGTTAGACTAGATATAAGGAAGAAATTTTTTACAGTGAACGTGGTAAAACACTGGAACAGGTTGCCCAGAAAAGTGGTAGATGCCCCATCCCTGGAAACATTCAAGGTCAGGCTGGATGCGGCTCTGAGCAACCTGATGTAGTTGAAGATGTCCCTGCCCACAGCAGGGGGGTTGGACTAGATGACCTTTAAAGGTCCCTTCCAACCCAAACTATTCTATGATTCTAAGTTGTAAAACTGACACAAAAAGATGAGGGTAAACAGCAGATCAGTGTATTAACCTTAGGAAGCCAAAACTGTCTCACTTTATGTCTCACTAGTCTGTTTGAAATATTAGGTACAAAGTTTTCTTTCTGGTGTGAATCATGGCTTTGTAATTTCACAGTATGTTAATATTCTTTCATGTACCTCCATCTCTACTCTTCTGTAAGCATTCATTTATCATGTAGCCTCTATTTAGCCAGGCTAACAGAACTAAACAGCATTTATCCAAGAGCATACCAAAAAACACTATTTCAGCTAAAAAAAAAAAAAAAAAAATCTTATTCTCGCAAATTTAATTCCAAAATCATCTTCACAAAACCTTATTTACACACTGAATGCATGAGCATGTCCTCTTTTTCCAAGTACAATAATGGAGATGGACTGATACTGCTTCTAGCAATGCTGCCTGTGCTGTGGTACATCTCCCCATGGGCATCTACAACTAATGAGATTCAGGGACTGCCGTAGGGAATTACATACTGCTTTTCCACCAGGAAATACTGACAGGATCCCTAGTGTCCTACTGTGTAAGCAACAAGAGTGATTGTTGTTGATGTCATCCATTCCCTTGCTTTATTTCTCCCATTTGAATTCTTGAGAAGCAGATCCTATTTTCATGATGTTTAAAAGGTAAGTAAGTGAGAAAAAAATACAGAATGCCATATATTTTACAAAAAAAATTCTTCTAAAGTAAATTAAAAACACGTTTCAGGAAACGTGTCTTATTTTGCTATGGTACACATGTAGCCTAGTGTACATGCTAACAAGGAATTTTAGAGACTCTAGAGAGAATCAGGGAACCCACTGAAAATTGGAAGGGTCTGCTCATCTGATTCCCCCAGGCTCCTTTTCAAACACAGCTGCTACAATAAGAGATGGGAAACCTGGTTCTCCCTGCAACAGTCTACTTTTAGCAATCTATTAGTTTGGGATAAAAAGGCCCTTCAAGACACTTCTCTAACATTAGTGTTTTCAGCTTTCAACTACAGTGCTCAATTTGAAAAACACCTACAATAATATTCTCATAACTATTCTCTGAGCATCATAAAATAGCAGCTGAACAATTTCATTCACCTGCCTGTTCAAAAAGGCTAGTGGGGTGGTTTTTTGTTTGGTTTGGGGCTTTTGAGGGGGTGTGCGCATGTGCATATTGGATTTTTTTTGTTTAAAGCGTGTTGCTTTAAAATAAACTCTGACTTATTTTCCAAGCTACTGAGCCCATAAATTTTTTTTAAAAAACTTTCCCT